TGCTGTAAGCCGAATAAAAATCTGTTAGGTACTTTTTTAATTTGCCGCATTCAGTCAACAAACGCGGCAGGAGGACTTTGTTTTACATAATGTTATATATGTAAAGATTGTGTAATCTATACATATACATATATACACCAAGATGAAACACTAGGTACAGATATCCTTTGAGGAAAACTTCAAACTCAACAAATTAAGCGATTTGTCACTGTCAATCGCTTGATAAGTGATTGAGTGCGAATAGGACGAATTGGTGTTATTTTATCGTTAGCCATTTCTATTAAGACGATGGTAGATAGTTAAGAAAAAAATTAATCTTCATTTTAAAAATATTTAATATACATTTGCTTCCTTTTTAACCTCCGATGCAAAAACGACGGGGTCTTATAAGATTGACGAAAATGACATTAACACATAGCATCATCTAGTTCCATTGTAAGCTACGAGGCTTGTGTTATAGATACCAGATAGTTAATACACTACACATATATAACTTTATATACATACATATTATAAATATAAACATCCATGAGTACAAAGATTCATGATCATCACACAAATGAATGCCGCCAGCGGGACTCAAACCGGCAACCGCTGGCACAGCAAGTAGGGTCATTATGAACCGAGTTAAACGTGTCGTCAAAAAAATTATGATTTTAAGATTTTAAAGATTTACTCTTTTACCTTATGTATAAACTCTCGTGAAAACTAAACAAAAAATTAATACAAATGTTTAGTAAATTAACAGGAGAAACAACAAAAGAAATTTAGTTAGTAGATAGGTTCTCTCAGACATGCAGGATTCCTCCCAATATTCCTTTACTTTACTTTAGTCGTAATTATGTTGAAGACGAGTGACACATGAAAATATCAGAGATGCGAAAACCGGGATTTGAACCCGCTACACTTATCCAGTCGTAACGGGCGGTAGCCCAGTGGCTATACACTATACGGAGAAATAATTTTTATAATAAGTATAATTATATATTACATGTACATTTTATAATACAAAAATAACAAAGGAAGACCTACACAAATTTCGCTCAACGAATTCAACCTACAGTTACAAGGTACAACCTAGTAGTTTTAACTGGTCCCCTAAAGTAACCGCGCGTTTATTGACAGACTTAACAATTGAGAAACAGCGGGAGCTCAGATAAAGTTCTGTTGTATTATCCCATTTGCGAGTTTGATTTCTGAAACTATATTAATAGAACAATAGAATCGTGTACGGGTAGCTATCAAATAATTCACCATTGTATAGTAAAGGGTTATTAGGTACAAGGTACCTTATATTAATTCATATATAGAGTCATTATATAGAGTCTAAGGCAGTGGTAGCCCAGTGGTAGCGTGCTCGCTTGAGACACCGAATGAAGCCGATTCAAATCCTGGGTCTCGTAACGCTGATATTTTCATATGCAAATCATTTTCAATATGATTATCACTTGATTTACGGCGAAGGAAAACATCGTGAGAAAACTTGCATGTGTGAGAGAACCTAACAGTTTTCGAAAGATATGGGAAATCGAAAGCGTGGTGAACTATGCAGGCTCGTGTCCAGCAGAAGTAGATATGTTAAAAAAGGGCTGAATAGCGAGTCTACTTCGATTGAAATAAAACAACTTAGAACTATGCCATCATCTTAAATCAGACCTATCTTTCTATTAGCTGCACAAAAAAATAGCCTATTGACATTCTCGAGTGACGTGCACATAGCACAAGAAGAATAAAAAATTCTATAGATTTTTTAACGTTTCTATTTACTGGTAAACATTCCTTATTAAATTATAAAGTAATATTTAATTTACATCTGCTGTCAACTCGGTTATAATTATTTAATAAACATACTAGAATAAATAAATGAATTTGAAAAACTCTTAATCCACGCTGAAACAATGAATTCACTCGCGTTTAGTATAAAACCAGTTGGGTGATTATGTAATTAATTAAATTATTAATTTGACAGATGAGTTCTTGTAACACCTTTTTTGCACAGTATTTTATATTTATTCTGGTATTTTTCTTTGCTCGGGTACGTCCCTGGTTGCCTTTTGTTATTTTGGCTAATATATTTACTAATAGTAGCTTTTGTGTTAGTCCTGGACATAGTAAGAACCCTCGTAGCTTTAGTTTAAGTCTTCTAATTGACGTACACAAGTGATCATTGAATTGATACAATGTGTAAAAAGAAGTAAATAAATAAATAAATAAATAAAAATAAAATAGTTTTTCTATGTATAAAGTTTTATCGAAATTTGTCCAGCCGCATTATACATATTATAAAACAAAGTCCCCCACCACATCTGTCCATCTATACATGTCTGTCTGTCTGAACGCGATGAACTCATAAACTACCGAACCGATTTTTGTTCGATTTTCACTAAAAGACAAGAAAATTGATTGTTGTAAACAGGTTTTCTGTAATCACATAACACACTTTTGTTTCATTTTTTGAAGAATTTTATCGGAGGTAATTATTATTAGTTATTTGTTATGTTTTATACAAATGTATTAAACGGAATAGCAGTGACGAAGGGTACATACAAGACGTCTTACCGTAAATTGTATTTTGCTATAATTTACATACATTTAATTTTTTAAATGTATAAATGTTCATATATATATATATATATATATATATATATATATATATATATATATATATGTATATCTGCATTAATACGTCTGGTCGCTAGTTGTGATGTAATTTAAGCCATCGCTTTTACGTGGGTATAGAACATATAACTTTTAGTAAATATAGATTATATAAAATAATAATGTATGAAAAGTTACATTAAAATGTCATAAAAAATAAAAATTATATCATCACCTCAAGTAACTTAATATAACACTCTTAGAAGTGTTAATATAACAGAGTGCCACCATTGTAAATTGCATCTGTTGTCTCGCTGAGTATGATTAAGATAATTATTAAGCCTTTTTGTCAGGTTCATTTCTGAAAACGCTGTCATTATATTAAATTTGAATACCTAAATAGTAGTAAGTAGTAAGATTGCAGGTTCGATTCTCGCGTGAAATAGTTTTGTGAGCAATCAAAAGCACAAGAAATAAACCGTTCAGTCACATTACAATATTACATGTAATAAAATTTTTTTTGCAATAATACTTGCTGTTTATTAATATTTGCTATACTTCGTCTTAAAATTACACGCGTAAAACACGTAGATGGCGGCTTTACAGTCGAATGAAGTTTATTGTGCCTACAATAGCCTTTAGCCATTTACATCGGGTACTTTATGGCTTCAAATGTGACTCAGATTTGAGTGGCACTCAGCGAGCTATTTACTCATAAAAGGTTAATAATATTTTATAGTTATATCAAGCTTTATACACGCCAACTGTGAAAATTTTCGATTTTCCTGAAATGCACTTGCACATTACCAAATAAATTTTATCCTATGAAACGCGATTCATTGAATTTATGATTCAATATCAAACATTTAGGTTGGAATAGTAATGTGGTAAGATATGGGAATAAATTTTTATATTTAAATTTTAGCTTTAGTCTAGTTTTCTCATCTTTTGAGGTTACAACATATTATTCTACCCTCTATTTTTATGTCTGTCGATGTTTTTTTTAAATGAGGTGCCGATACGATACCTTAACATCGATTATTATTATTTTTTTAAACTAAGAAGGTACACCGCATTTGGGGAATTCTATTAACGATACCGATTATTGTATAATATACAGACAAAAAAACATACTCTCATTAAATACCTCCTCTGTTGAAGTCGGTTAAGAAGCTTCGTAGAGCAAAAAAATAGCTTTGCCTTTTTAACTTTTTAATCAATGAAGCTATAAATATTTATTTAATGTTGGAAAAATTATGTTGATCATTATTCCAAATAGAAATAAATTTTAATATTACAAATGTGAAAGTAAGAACGTTTGTTTGTTTGTCGTTCTTTAAAGTCAAACCAAGTAACGAATTGGCCTGATTTTTTTGCGCAGAGATAGTTGGAGGGCTGGAGAGTGACATAGGCGACTTTTTACCGCGGGTGATTATCTCATTCCTACGGGAAAACATGTTATAATACAAGCTACAACAACTCATCATACCTGAATGTATATAAATATTAGTATATAAATATTATTGTATAGTCTATCTATTCCATACTAACCGTTAAAGCGTACCCAGGAACCAACACGAGCGAAGCGAGTGTGAGTCGCTAGTCTTATATAAACACAAAGCAGTAAAGTAATATAATATTAAAAACCTCATTAAACACAGAATTTTTAATTAAGTGTATTTTTGAAACATTAATAAGCCATAGTTTTTAATATTCTGCGGCAAGAATCTCTTCATCTATTAATGAGATCGTTCCACAGCTTATCTCGTCTTGTTCTTTATCATAGTAATTTATGTTCTTAAAGATATAAAAGCACTGTAATATAAGTTACTAATCTCTGAAAACAAATTTTAACTTTCTTTGGCAGACGGTTTTTGTTATAAGGTATACGCTTTTGAAATGGTTTTCAACATTTAGATGGATAGTTAATCCCTCTACGACAGCGGACACGCCGGCGTTACAGTAAACAATAGATTTCTTAGAAATTTATCTGGAGGTGATATAGATATTCATGTACATATTATGTATGTGTATACATATATATGAGATTATTATACTTTAATACTGCTTAAGCAGATAAATGATATTTATTAAATAAAATTATATTTTCCAATATTTTCGTGGAATTATTTCGAATTTTAATTCCTAGCATTTCGAATACTTTACAGCAACCAAAGTCACAGGGGAGACTAAAGTTTTAGATGTCTCAAAAGTCAATATATAGAATTTAACAAATAGTATCTACAACAATATCCCAAAAATAAAAATAAATTCGGAAACAAACCCAAAATTGCTTAAAATTACAAATATTCGCTTAAATCTAAGAAAGTATTAAATGATATTATTTTACTTAATACTTAAAAATTATTAATTTAATTTATAAAAAAAACATATTTACTCACTCCAGTAGTTCCTTATAAATATCGAAGTCAGTGAACACAAGTTCTACTATTTGATGCGGTTCGGCAAGGAATGTATATAAGAGGCACATATCCTGTGGGTACGGACGTGGGTAGTCGGGACTACTGAACGTGCCTCGCTCCTTTCCGTGAGTTGAAGTGAAGCGAATACACGAACAACCTGTAAAATATAAACTTATAAAATAAAAATCCTATTTACGATAATAACCTAGCTAAAGGTAAAAATAATTTATCGATAAAGAATGCAGATTCTAATTTTTAGAAATAAAAAATATCTCACAGTAAATCTTAAAAATTTCAGTTTATTAATATTTTAACTGAAAAGTAAGGTTACCTTACAATCATATATATATTTTTCAAACGTAAGTGGCATTTATTTTTAATCTATACATATAATAAAATTGTAACTGAGCCGAATCTGTACATTAATCATTTTTTGGAAAATCTTATTGAAATAAAAATTGTTATAGATACAGGGGCCGTATATATATAGCTTTTAAAAATTATGTCTGTCTGTCTGTCTCTGTCTGTTACCGCATCACAGAAAAACCACTAGAGGGATTTTGATGAAATTTGGTATGGTGATAGTTGGTTATTCGGGTCAACATATGGGATACTTTTTACCGCGGGAAAATATCTCATTTCTGCAAAGATCAAAGATAATTCAACAAAATTCTTAGTTTTATATTAATATAGGAAATAATATTATTACTAATACTAACAAAATCTTAACCAGTTATTTTTTTAAATTTAACTTTAAATATTACTTAAAGTAACTAACAGAAAAATAGGTACCAAATAAATCGATATACAGACATTCTTTTCTCATTTGTGAAATTTGTAGCGTTTTAAAAACTTCATTTTACGACTACTGCTTTTATATTGACGAAGCATCATAAATTCAGCACCCGAGGGAATGCGGTTTCAAATACTAGTGCCTAGATTTTCTGATACGAACCTTTTCTAGGTAATATATTCATAATTTTTATTTAATGTGTTTTCTGGAACGCTTCATTAGCCTAAAAACGTAATAATTAATTGCTGTACATAAAATCAAGCGACCTGTTAATCTTATTTCTCTCTTATCAGACTACTACTTTTATACATATATAATAAACAATAATTATTTATTTAAAACAAAAAAAACAGAAAATCACAAAAAATATTCAATTTTATTTTTTGTCTGTGGTGTTCACATACTAACCTCATAAAAAAATAACAAAAAATAAGCAAAAAAACGAAAATTTGTATATAATAATATTATAACTATGTAACGTGTATGTTTGTTACTTCTTTACACTTGGTCTTCAGTAGTGTTGCAAAAACTGTTTTTATACCGTGAAAAAAACTTAAAAAAAAGAACGCGCTTTTTTTCTTAAGCAAGTTTTTTTTCAAGAGTACAGAATTTAAAATAATTATGGTAGTGTAAAAAAATAATAGTTCAGAGTTCATATTAGAGATTTTCTTTTATTTTTAAACTTACCATACTTTTTATTTTATTTTTTATGAGTATACAACTAGACTATGACCTGCAGTAACACAGGCTACTTTTAGGCCCCTAGAGATATACCTTTGCTAATCGAGGGTAAGTGCTAGTTCAATTATCTATTTAGTTGTGTTCAAAAACAATTACGTATTTAATGCCTACCATATTTTAAAATATCCATCACGTAATGTTTTTCAAGCCAAATTGTGCTTAACATGATACATTTTTAATTCAAATGATTAAGCAACACGAATAAAGTTTTGATTATATTATAATATAATACCTATCCATAAATATGTACATTAATATTTCGTTGCCTTATTTGTTCGTTGTTTGTACAAACGACCGATACTTGTTGTACTTTACAGTGAGAGTTTTTTTTAATACATTATATAGACAGAGTATATTTTTCGGTCTTATAAAGTAAAATTTATATTTAATTCCAATAGATTTGACATTTAAAAGTATTAATTCTGTATTAAAAATTTTATTTCGGTAAATTTATCGTTTAGACAAGTAAGCACTGAGAGTACGATTCACTTACTAATTATTTGAAACTTAATAATTATAACAGGCAAACGCTTAGTATTTTTACAAGTTTTTTTAAATGGTATAAGGGTTCCGTATTATATACTCAACATATTATTACCTTCACAAAAATTATTTTCGTTGAAAGCATTTTAGAAACTGTTATCTTAATTCATCCCATATTTTAATCTGAATAGTGACGGAGAAGGAACACAATATTTCAACTTTACGTATCGTCAAATATTGGTGTAATTAAAATAGCCAATGAGGAACAGATATTCCTAAATCTATTTTTAAAGACTTGTCCAAGAATACTTACAACCTTATGTACTCAAACTTATTTCTAGGTCTGATATATACTGCTCTAATCGTCTCAAATTCATTCAACATCGGAACATCAGTCAGATCACAGTGCATATGTTCTAACTACCTTTTGTACATAATAATAAATAATATATGGGAAACTTATAGTACGTACATAGTGTCATAGTATTGGCATCTATGTTTATGAAACTCTTACAGGTTTCAACCACTTAAAAAAATTATAGTCTGGGTGTCTATCTGTGTGTATTGTGAAAATTTCATATAGTATGAAAAAAACCTCAATGCGGGAATGAAATTTGTATAGGCACTTAAAAATACTACTTATAACGACATGATATCGATAAGGGCGGATCCCATTAACTCATCTATCTATGGTTTTTCTTACTACAAGTAGGGCTGTGGCTATAAACAAATTTTGACTAACATTATTTATTCTATTAACGATAAACACATTTGTGATATTATAACATACCGTGAGGCATTTATTTCAACTGCTCAGATGTATTATTCAATTTTGTTGATAAAACGTATAGATTCAGATAAATCAATTTCCTTGTGTGACAACCTCACAGGAATATGTAACTATCGTAACTTCTGAGAGAGTACTAAGCTAATTCCTACGAACACGTATTGTTGTACAAAATGCAATACATCAATATCAGTATGCCAGACATGTAGTTGTGTAAAGGTCATAATTTTTATGTATGTATGCGAAAAATAAACAAGGGAGATAAAATAATCATAAAATTGTATCAAAATTTAAAACACGATTGAACAAAAGCCTCATCAGCACGCGTAACAATTGTAATTGAAATGCGGCAATCAAATACAACTGGTGCAAATATAAAACATAATAGCTCTCATAATCATAACATTACCACTTACACCAAACAAAACGTCACGTCCGGGAGAAACATGGGTTTTTTCGATGGTTGTGATGAATATTTTACATAAAAATATTTTTATGTCATGGTTCTTTTCACCGTGTGATGAAAACGATGTTATAAAAGCGAAATTGGAGGACAGGTTGTCTAAAAGCTGATTGATATTGTATAAAATCATTTTTCTTTATGTATAGACAGATTCATAAATACACGCCTTATTTTAGAATTTATTTTATGGTATTTGGCTATAAATTAAACCCAACAGCTATTGGCCATAACATATCAGCCATATAAATTGTAGATTCATATTCTGCTTTACGATATCATGACCTTAAATTTTTGTTTCATATTTTATAATACTCATCTATTTTATATTATATACGTACATAATGTATATATACAAATATATAGCTTGCATCAAATTGTATAGAAGCTTACCAATTTATTTGTATTAAAATATAATTTTCTCTAGGTACCTAATAAATAAAATAAAAGTTTAGTTTCACATTTTAAATAAAACTATCTTTTCGGCTATTTTCGCGGATTTTTTTTTTGATTTTTGGTTGGTGGTTTTGGTTTTGGAAAACCAAAAATCAAAATAAATCAACAAAAAACGAAACACACTTTTATTTAAAACTTCAAATATTCACGTAAATCTAAGAAAGTAGCATTTCTAAATATCACAAATGAAACGAAATAGAGAACTTAGATTTTGGAAATCGATTAAATCTTCTTCTTAGTATTGTATCTCTTTGAAACTTTGTAAGTATGTAGAATACGGATGACAAAATAATAATATGATACCTTTAAGCTGATATGGTTATGGGGCCAGAAGGATGACAGTGGAACTTTTCAATGTTTGTAAAATCTTCGAATTTGGGCTCATTTTTTTGTACGACTAGCTATTAATCCCTACACGACCGCGGACACGCCGGCGTTACAGTTAACAATAGATTTCTTACAAATTTAATTAATTTCTTAGAAATTTACCTGGAGGTGTTAATCTATATTTTTTTAATTTTCAATAAACATTTTGTGTTAAACTCTAACCCTATATAATCCCGTCACCTGTAAAAATTAGTAAATATACGAAATTAAAACTGTGTACGTACTGTAATCAAACAAACAATAGGTGATTGTCAAGACCGTGAAAGTCTATATAGCACAGTATACTATTACGTAGATTGCAAATTCAAAGGATTTTGAAATGTAGAGCTGTTTGAAAAATTTGATAACGGACGAAAAAAGTTAAAGTCTCAACCTTACTACTCTGTCCAGAAGAAACAAGGGTGAAGTATGAAATTGAAAACAGATAAATATTTGCTTATCATATAGGTTCGTTTATTTTATTATAGGTAGCTACAAAAATGTATTTCATACCTGGATTATCATTACATTATTCCCTCATTCAATGAGCGCCTTGTTCTAAACGATTTGTAAGAACCAATCTCCGTTCGAGCCATATCTTTGAAATATTTCAGCTTTTATCTCTCGCCATTTCCTTTCATTGTTTCTAATAAATTAATAATGAAAGGAGGCGTGATGAGATTGAATAGCTAAAATTGATTATTATTAATGGTTTCTAATTTGCTACGCTTCGTGAATAATCATATTAAATATAATTGCTTCAGTTTTTTTTTAATAAGTTAAGCATATAAAGATAAATGAGCTTTTGTTTAATACTTTCTTAGATTTACGCGAATATTTAACACTTTAAATAGAACTTCTCCGATTTTATCGTAATTAAGAAAAAGATTCTATTTTCTAATTTTGTGGGTAAATATCTTTTGTAACGTCTAAATAATAATTTTTAAGACTAAAACCTTAGTCTATCCCGTGACCATATTTGCTCTAAAGTATTCGAAACGTCGAGAATAAAAATCCAAAATTAATCCACGACAAAATCCGAAAAGATGTTCTTATTTAAAACCAGCTTCTTTTTAAAAAATACTAAGATTATATTATTTACTCGAGTCTTAAATCATTACCATAATGCAATTATAAAATATAAAATAATTTCTTTGACATTAAATAAAATCACAATTTCACACAATTTTCCCTACGAAATAGTGTCTTGTGAATAAATGAGAAATATACCTATAATATATTTAAAAAAAAAACCGCTTATCTCGGAAACTCTAACGATTTGGATCAAATTTTGTATTTAGATAAGGTTTTGCTTTTTAAGTTTATCTTTATAGGTCCCTTTTATTAAAAGACGCATTTTTTTATATGTAGGGACATTAACACACAGCACCATCTAGTTCCATTGTAAGCTACGAGGCTTGTGTTATGGATACCAGATAGTTGATACACTACACACATATAACTTTAAATACATACATATTATAAATATAAACACCCAAGACTAGAGTACAAACCTTCGTCATCACACAAAATGAATGCCCCCAGCGGGACTCGAACCCGCGACCGCCGGCACAGAAAGTAGGACTACAAACTGAGCCAAACGTGTCGTCAAAATTATTGTAATTAAAATATTATATAATTTCCGCAAAAACTGAGTTTGAGTGAATTTATCTATTTAGGTGTATTTACTGAAAAAAAAGCAATTTGTACATCCTTTCCGAAAAAACGTCGAGCGAAACTCGGTCACAGGTACTATGTGCAGATAGAGTAAGATAAAAAGTCTACCTGACTCGGTTTTCAAGAACTTTTAAGGCTTCCAAAGGGTCGGACCGCTACCCTATTACTAAGCCCAGGCTGTACGTCAATCCGTTCGTTCATCTTATATTGAAAAGGCTATATTTTTAGTTATGGTTATAATAAACATTATTTTTGTACAAAATTTGTATAATTTTAATGAATATTCTAATAAATAAAAAAGATGGAATGGTTAATTAAAGCAAAAAATATTTATGTGGTGTACTTCTATTTTTGCTCTAACTTAAAAGGGTTTTATATGAAACAAAAATGACTAAGGGTAAGTCGGATCGGGTGAGTATAAAAAATATAAAATCCTATTATGTTGGTACCCTCGATGTGCAAGACTCGCCCTTGACCGATTTCTAGACAATTTCCGAATTGAGCATCTGCATGATCTACATTCTACATAAACTCTCTGTCTTTGCGGAAATTGAACGATTAGCCTTCAGTCCAGTTAAAGTCTGACTTTATAAATTTAATATATATTTTTTTGTTTGTCTATCGGTCTGTCTGTAACATATATGTACTATAGAATTATGAAATATAAAATTAAGTTGAGTTCATATATTATCCACAAGAATATAGAATATTTTTTTAATATGAAAAAAATATGTAACCTTTGGTCCAAAAGCCGAAAAAAACTTAAGATAAATGTGTACAATATACCTCTACCTTCACCTAACCTTTACATCTGGGTAATGTCAGCCGAAGCAAAGACGGGTAAATAAAATACGCCAAAATAGTTTTGAATAAAGAAAAGCTGTCGGAATCTCACAAATGGAGCTAGTAATGCGATCGTGTCGAGAACTCTTAAGTGAGCCAACAAAATGGTGGTATAATAAAAGAACACTTGATACTTACTTGGATTTATGGCGTGACCTTCATCTACCGTGTGTAGGGATAAGTGGACGAGCAGGAACAGTGTAGTTGATGTCTGAAAGAGAAATGGTTGATTAGTTTCTAGTTCTACCAATTCTATCGATGCGAAATAAATCTGTCAAACACTAGCAGTTGAGTTTTTTAGTGGGTAAAAAATATATATTCAAGACGCGCCATAATAAGTCTTCATATTTCTTTTCACATTTGATTTTATATGATATTGTATTTGTGAACATATTATATATCGCTTAGTTACGCTCTCGATGCCTATTATTTAACAAAAACACATTTAAGAGGAACATTAAACATGTTATTGTATAGCTTTTTATACACATTTACTTATTTATAAAATTGTTTACAATGTTTTTGTGTAAAATTTTACAAATAATACAAAATATACACTTTTTATAAATAAGAAACTGTATATAAAAAGCTGTACACTATTATGTATTCGTTATCTATTCTAATATTACAAAGAAAAAAAATGATTTTTTGTTTGTTTGTATCAAATAGACTGCGAAACTACTTAACCGATTTAGATGAAATTTGGTAAAAAGATAGTTTAAGACCCTGGGAAGGACATGGGATAGTATTTTTTTCGGAAATTGTCCCTTAAGGAGGTAAAAATGGGGATGAAAGTTTGTATGGGGAAGCAACCTAGGAATGAACACGAGCGAAGCAAGGGTGAATCGCTAGTTGTACTATAAATGAAATTTCTGTATTCATTAAAATATATATTATACAGCTCAGATATCTTATACGATGACGCTGACGGTCTACTTTCAGTAATGGGGTACAGGATTACCAAACATAATCCAATAAGAACATTCATGACGCTCTAATTGAGTTAGCTACTTGATGCGACTTTCATACTAATCTTTTTAAGGGATATTATAGAAAATGGGTTAAGTAGTACAGATAGAAATAATTTGCATATATTGTTATATTAAATAGAATATTATATGGTATGGATATGGCTTAAGCTGTGAAATTGCAATGACTAAATATTTTTTCCAGAGTAATGTTTTTATTGCCCATATTATACAGAGTACAACTTAAAATTTTTTGTAGTATGTAATTTTAAGTACCAAAAACCGAAAAAAATTGGTTAGTAAATGTACATTGTACAATATTATATCTTTACTATTACCTGCCATTAAATAAATATTTTTAATTAATATTTGTTATTTTAAATTTTAAAAAATTATTTTTAAAAGTATTTGCTCCATCCTAAGAGTGGAATTACTTTTTGATATTTTTATAGAACGTACCTTGGGACGAAACCTAAGCGAATCGAGGGTGAGTTGTTAGTTACATATAAAACAAAGTCGTGTTAGTTGCACCATTTATTAACTCAAGAACTGAAAGGCTGGACCGATTTTCATGATCCTTGATTAGTTGGATTTGTCTCTATCTCAAATAGTAGAATATGTATTCAAATTCACGAAAAAAAAATTACATGGCAATGATTAATAATTATTTATATCCATTATTAAATAAAACTATCTTTTCGGGTTATTTCGCGGATTTATTTTGATTTTTGGTTCCCGACGTTTCGAATGCTTTACAGCATCCATGGTCACGGGAGAGACCATGTAAATGTAAGAAAGTATTATATTTATATCCATTTAAAACGTACCTACTAACGTATCTGAGCGAAGCGAGTAAAAGTCGCTAGTTTATAATAAAAACTAAAATATTTAAATATAATAATAGTTAAGTAAATCTATGCAAATCTGTACATTAAATATTTTTTGTAAAATCATATTGAAATAGTGATTATTATTGATACAGAGGCCGAATCTATAATTTTTAGAATTTTTGTCTGTCTGTCTATCGGTCTGTCTGTTACCGTATCATAGAAAAACCACTGGAGGCATTTTGATGAAATTTGGTATGATGATAGCTGGTTATCTGAGTCAACATATAGGATACTTTTTACTGCGGAAAAATATCTCATCTCTGAGAAATCTACACTAAACGATAAAACGTAAGTAGGATCAAACCCGAGCGGAGCGAGGGTTAGTCGCTAGTATCCAATAAAATCCATTAGCTGATAGTTTTAAACTTTTAGCAAAATTACTACTAAAGCATAATAAGTTGTTCAGAAGCAGTTAAAGCAATCGAATTTAAGTTTGATAGTTTGTTGCGACCAGTTTATTGAAGTTCTGCAAAACTATTTATGTGGCACTCAGAATATACTTAGATTGCAATGAAGAAGAACATTGTAAAAGAAGTAAGTTTCATAAGAAAATCGTATTTCATATTATCATATATTTTTATATTAAATTCTTGTACATATTTATATACATTTATTTTGTGTATCTTGGAAACGGCTCTAACAATTTAGATCAAACTAGCAACATAGGGTATGTATAAAACTTCCCTATTTGAATCGGATATTATAAAATTTTTCATTGTTTTTTTTTCGTGGGGCACTATTTTTTTCTAAAATAAAAGTAGCCTAAGTTACTCTTTATGCCTGCCTGCCCCATATTACAAGATACCTACCCAAATAAAGCTACATGTTTTTCGATGACTAATTATGTCAGTGAAAGCGCAACTACTTCTCGTAAAAGCTTATCTTTTTTAGTGTACTAAATAATAAAACGAACAGGACGCGTATAAAATTTAATAAATTTTGTCAATCTAATAATTCGTAATTGCTTGTAAAAAAGATAAGACAACCAACATTTTGGCATTTTAAAAATACAAAATAATGAAAAGACCTATACTTTTGTTATTGATATTGTATATTAAGTAAGTAAATATAAATCATGAATATAAAATTGACACAAACATATCTGCAAGTAGGAACTTAGTCATACAAAAGCTTCTCGAGAAAACCAACCAGTCAGCATCACACCTTAGTGTAAATATACCTCACTGAGCTTTAAAAATGTCCGCCGCAAGCGAATATAATATTAAATTATGCAGTGCATCTATTTGAAAAATTCTAAAATGACATAAAATAATATCATTTTCTATACATGAAATAAAATTCTCACCGAGTCCAATCTGTACATAAAATATTTTTTGGAAAATTTATTTATTTATTTATTGACTTACCAACAAAAATTACAATGGTTAACACATAATCTTGGCACTACACTTAACATGTTAATTGCACTTTTAATTACAGGTAAATACAGCATGATAGTTATAATAAATTTTAATTAAGGTTTTAAGTGATCATGTGGATTAAACTATAAATTGAAATTATTAAAAAGAAAAAAAAACAATTATAATTATAAATCATAATAAATAATCCTATTGAAATAGTCATTATTATCGATACGGAGGCCGAATTTATAGTTTTTAGAATTTTTGTCTGTCTGTCTGGGAATGCATCACGAGAAAACCACTGGACAGATTTTGATGAAATTTGGTATGATGATAAACTAGTTATCAGTGTCAACATATAGATACTTTTTTATCTGATGATGGATGAACCCTACCGGGCGAGGGTGAGTCGCAAGGATATATGTATATAATAATATTTAAAAATGAAGAGTCTGTTTTGATTGCATATACGCACTTACTAATAATTATAATTTGCCTTAAGTACTTGTCCAATTGGAAAAAATCTTTTTTGAACTTTATAGGCTAGTGAAGAAGGCTATCTTATTTCACATTACGACTAATAAATGCGAAGTAATTATACATAAGTATACAACATGGGTGAAGTCGTGGACTAACGCTTGTTATTGCATACATTTTTTATGAAGTGGGTAATTTTAATTATGAAATTATTTCAAGGCAGGTAAAATCTTTCGACCTGCTCATTAAAAAAATATTTCTGTTGTATCAGAAATGATACGTAAATAAATTATAAGTATTTTTTCAAAAATAAAATGGCTTATGTAACTTAGAATGATACAAAATAAATAAACCACATCAAAAAATACTGTAATTCTGATAGGGGACTTGTTACAAAAAACAAATTTAAATCTAAAAGGGATTCATTAAGACCTACATCACTTTGATGTTTTATCTTACGAGTTCGTAATTGCAAATGAAGTCAGTTGAGGTTCCTTGACTTTACTATAACAAATAGACCTTTGATAAGAGAACTGAAGAGAAATAAGGTGTTCTATTAAAATTAAGTTTGTTGTATGTATGTATGTGTGTATGTATATATACATGTATTCTGTCCTTTTTAACACACACACTTTTTTCCACAGCTGGCCACACCTCCTTTTAATGCGAGAGTAGGACATGGTTCACCACACAGTCCGAGTGCTCTTGTGATCTTCACATGTCTTTAAAAACCTCTGCCTACAAACTGAATACGTGTGTACATTTGTACTATATTTTTTTGAGTTTGTAACGTTATGTCTTCTATTGGTAAATAGTTTTTATATTGTTTCTTTATTAAATAGGATTTTTAACTCCTAAGAGTTATTCCATATAATAATAAAAATATCTCTTAAAGACGAAATAATTACTCTTTAAGTGTTTTTGAAGTCGTTAAAATCTTGTTAACCAGTAATATCACAGCAAATCTGTCCTTCCTAAGAATCAGATGCAAATCTATTTTGAAAATTAAATAAATAAAAGTATGTGATAAATTAGAACTGAACGAAATGGCAATAAAACAAAGTTATAAAGTAATTTCTTCCAACTGATCTGAGCTTTAACAATACAAACTACAGAAACAAGTTAAAAGAGAAGAAAGTAAAACTGAAGTGAAACGACCAGAAATTCAAACTAACATGAATATAGAAAGTAAAAAGGCGATACTAGCGAAGACGTCTTTCCATCGTCTACTTGGTCTTTGAACTAAAACTAACTTTGTACCACTAAAGCCGTTCAAAGTGTAACAAAGGTAGTTGTGAACGAGTTCCTAACAAATGGGTGCTCTACGCAGTTAAATGATGGAGAAACTCACGGTAAATTCAGATCTCTTGTTATGCTAATGCTCGCGACTACTTCACGATGTGGCTGAGAAAGACGAGATGAATTGTGTTTACGCGACCGAATAAATAAATGCTAAAATTATTTTTACACCTTTTTAAGTCATCATTACTAAGTAAACACAATGATAAATTTTGA